TGTACAGAGGAAATATGTTAAAATAAACAGTAAATATGGTGATTTCTATAGATGAATATATAAATATATATATATACCTATATATATATATATATATATATATATATATATACACACATACTGAAAGTTATTTGATATTTCTGGGTATTAATTACTGCCAGTTTGGTGAAAGATAAACTCTCCGCAGTAATGGTGATTCAAGAGTGCATTTAGCAGCCTTTACAACTGCATCCCAGTTTGATACAGAATCAATGATGTTTTCATCAGGATTGGTTGGATCAATTAAATAAGGTCTGCAATGAAATTTAAAAAAAATAGGAATTTTAAAAAGATGGAAAAATTGAAAGAAAATATCACAACATACAATTTTACTCTTTCTGAACTTTTTTCAATAATGAATAGAAAAACTTAACTTTGAGCTGATAATTATTTAATCATTTCCATCTACCCAATTTCTTCTCACAAGGCTCGGGTCAACTGGTCGGAGGATTTCCAGACACTTTCTAAAGGTACAACACACTCTGATCGTTTCCCCAGGTTGATATTATCAAGTGGTCATCTCTTTGAGAAATCATCTATCGCAAGATTCAAACCATGGTTGATCTCATGGTTGGAATGCTAACATTCTTTAATGAAGTCATTGCTGTACAGATTGATAATAAGATGAAATGGAATCTCTCTTACTTAACGTTACATTTTACTCAACTCCTGACTTCTTCGGCTAATTTTGGCCAATATGCAAGAGTGGGCCTGGAACTAGGTTTATGTCTTCATGCCACTTCTACTAACAGTTTCTTTGATTGCACATCCCACCAGTGGAACTCCGTTCTGATTTCTTGCTTCCCTCATAGCTACAATCTTTAAAAACTTTAGAGCAATGTCAATTGCCCATTTTTGTTTTCTTGAAAGAAAGTTGGTTCAATGTGTTGTGCCCCAAATTTTTTCTTGTCAGAATCCATCTTGCACATTTATAAATCTACCATTCATCCGTGCATACTGTTGCTAGATCTGGTCTGGTGCTCCTGCTGTACATCTTGAGATGCTTGACAAATTCCAAAAAAGAGCCTGTAATGTAATTCATCCTGACCAGGTATCTCGACTTCAGTCACTTTCTCATCAACATGACATGGCTTCCCTCTGTCTTTTCTACAAATATTTTCATGGCAACTGCTCTTATGAGCTTGTTTTCCCTGGTGCTCTGACTACATGAATTCAAGCATGTTATTAAATTGGCAACAAGGTCTCACCGTTTTATTGTTGAACTAGCAAGATGCAACTGACACTTTTACTCCAACAATTTTTTTTCTCACACTTCCCACCTGTGGAACTCCCTTCTGATGTCTTGCTTCCCTGATAACTACAATCTTTAAAAACTTTAGGGAAACGTCAATTGACCTTTTCTGTTTTCTTGAAACCTGTCCCCTTTTGGTCCTTTTTGTCAATGTTCCCTGTATCTTCTGCATTCTCTTGGTATTAGTGCCTTGCTTGAGGTAAAAACAACGGAAAAAAATAGTTCTCTTCTACATGTACATTACAAGTGCAGCTGTGCCCATCATGTGGATCTCCACTTGGCAGCCAGAAAGGCATTTGTCAGGTCAACCTTTTAAAGTGCAACATCCCTTCTCAAGCGAGACAATACAGATCTAGTCATTCAGTGACATATCCATGGTATATTACTGAAAGTGTAACTTAGAAGAAATACGAAAAAATCTTACCTTGGACACCCACCAAAGCACTGCCAGGTGCTTTGATCATAATTAACAAACCAGACTTTATGGAGCTGCTGATAATTGAACAAAGTTGTAAGAACTGCTTTAAATGCCTTTTCCATTTTAAAATTCTGTGGTTTACCATGCTCTTCCCAAGTATGGATGACAATCAAACACATTGCATAGGATGGAAACTTTCTGCAACCCTGAAAAACATTTAATACATTCAATTAGATATTTGGAAAAGTGAAAGGAAATAGCTTAGGCTTCTTCACTCTCCAAGATCCAATATAGGCATTAATATATCTCTGACATTCTAACATTTTCATAAGACAGAGTGAAAGAGTAGAATAGTGCACCCCAAACTAATGTCCACCTTTTCGACTCTCGTGCAAGTCAAACCTATATGCTAACCTTTTTGATTCTTCACTTAAAGTTATTATTCTTATGTGAAACTTTTGGTCATAAAATCAAACACATGAATTATCAACTTCATATATTTTTGCATAATCTGTATTTTTTTAATCTGTATCACCCCGTGCAAGGCAGTAAAGCCACTATGATACAATGTGTTTGTTGTATCTTGTGTTTTCAAGATAACAGAGAGAAATAAATAAGGAAGAGAAACTCATAGGTAAGTGCAGACAAACCTCTCATCAACGGACTGACAAGGAGGAGGAGGAGTGGTCTATTAAAGCCGATTGTCTGTAGATGGGAAGGAATAATTTTTGAGTTATAAAACTGTTGTGGATTCCGAGATGAAATTCGGTCTCCAATGAATGACAAATGCAGGAATGAAATCTAACAAATAAATGTATTTACACAATAATACAATTGGTAATACGGTTAGTAAATCCAGAAACGCGGTTAGTAGCAATAATAATATATATACAGTCTGGTAAATCCAGTCTCAAAGTAGGACTTCCTTAGAGTCTACATGCTTGTAACTGTGACTTCTATAAGCGGTTACCTCACACTATTACTCTACCTCCAACTCAATCATAATCTCTCTCTATGACTGACTCTGGGTATTTAACGGCAGCAGTCCAAGTACACACTGGTCAAGTCCACTTGTATGAAAAAGGGGTGGACCACATAACAAAACCACTATAGTAACTGCCACTAGTTATGATCATAATGTAAATAATATAAACATGTATATATGGTATAAATAAATACTTAATGTAGATATATTATTCAAAATAACAAAAATAATTTAAAAGTTATAAGATCAATATATTTAATCTGTTATCTTTAGATATTGTAAACAAGGTGTATAAAATGTTAACCCTAACCCTGCTGATATACTACACATTTTCGAGGGTTAATTTTTTCTATTTTTATAATCATAAAAAGTTCCTCTGTTTCTAAGCAATAAAACAAAATAATAAAGTTACTTTCATGTTTATTTTGTTTCCTGATTTACTATCGTTTCAGAATTCGTAGACCCAATGTGGTTTATGGGGGTAAAATAATAATACATAATATTAAATAGTTAATGGGTGATAATAATATCACATGTCGGGCAAATAATATTGCATCATAGTCACCACTGTAATGGGAGAGAGCTGTGGAAGAAAGCTTTATTACGACCATGATATAATATCACTGTAATTCATGGCAGAGACAGAATGGCTGAAAGGAAAATGAATGACAAACGTAATTTGTTCTCAGAGTATACCGTCTACCCTGGCCCCTCTGTATTTATGCTCGATCTCCCTCAGCTGATCATAGAGTCGATTGTTTCAGCCCAAGTCTTGTCTCACCTCACATTATGATTAATTGATTGCAAGACTGGCTTGGTCTGAATGGTCGACTGGAATCAATGACTTGGGTTGGTTTGGTCAGAGTAAAGTTACACGAAAGAGAAAAAATAAATAAGTCCAATAAAAGAAAAGAAATGGTACAGTCATTGATGGCTTAAACAGGCTATGCTCTCATTGCAATAACTATCGACCCTTCACGATTATCATGACAAACTGTTGTTAGAATTTTGGAGCAAGACTTCTGGAACAAGGCTTTAAATCGGAATCTTTTTATTCAGAGTGGCAAATCACATGAGATCAGGTGAAGTGATGGTTCTTTGCTCTCTCTGCCATAGGGTTTCAGTGTTCTGTTTTTATAGACCCCTGCACAAGGGCTGGAGTGGGGTATGATGTGCTCTGGGAATGCCTGTGTTCCCCAAATAACCAATCAGAGCTCTCCCTGCAAATGTCTAAATATCAGGGAGCTCGTCATGTAGTCTCAGTTCTAACCAAAACCAGATCGTCTCTTTCTTTTACCTCTGTGGCAGACGAGAAATTTCATTACCTACTTCTAGTTTTTTTTTTTCACAATAAAAAATATCTTTTTCTTCCATTTTTCTTTGTCCAATCATCAGTATGTCTTCAGTCTATCAGAATTTAGTGTTTTTCAGTCTTCTTGTTCTTTCTCAATTAAAAACAAATATCCCTTTCTTTCATTTTCCTTTGTCTGGTCATCGGTATATCTTCAGTCTTTCAGAATTTAGTGTTTTTCAATTTACTAGCACCTTTCCATTGATGTCAGAGAATGACTTTTATAGTACTAAAACATACATAGAACTATATATACACTTGCTCTGCTCAGAGAAAAATATACCACATATATGTACACAGCAAAGTAGAGTGTAAGAAGAAACAAAAAAGAAGAATCTTACATATAATATCAGTCAGTCAGTTATATGCCATGTGTGATACACACTTAGGCGATCATGTATCTTTCGATACATGACTGACGAGGCAGATTTTTTTTTCCACTGAAATAGGTTGCCATCCAAGGCTATAGAACCTAGTCTGTCCTGCTATTTACCAATAGCTAGAGGGAGAAGAAGGGTATTAGCATGTAAGTGAATGTAATGGATTTGATTGGAATTCGAACTTGGCTCTCTGATTCCTCAAACCGAGCTGCTATACATTACTCTACCATGCCTCCCACATATAGTATAAAGATACTAATGTGTCTGGAGAAGCCATTTTTAGGACTCCAGATTCAAACAGGACGGATTCATCTATGTCTCAGGTGAGGATATAATCCACGAACAGGAACAGCAAGTCTTGAGTTTTCCCAAATTGAGGACTGCAAGCTGGAGTTTCTTTCTATATCTGGAAAAGATATATCCCTAAATGGAAAGGGCACCATGGACTTGCAAACTGTTGGGACGCAGATTTAACCTCTGCCCAGTCTGGGGGCTAAAGAAAGCAACCTTTTTTACTATGGTTCTAAGGTTTAAACAGAACAAACAATTTCGATTGATAAAAATGCTGAACTTACAAAAGATTTTGCATCGACTTTAGTCCAATATTTCATAAGTTGCAATAGATTCTTCAGCTTAGTCATTCGTTGCTTGATAAAAAGTATTTGCAGCTTGACAAATATAACTGAATAATGCTCACGAACCAAGCCTCTTAAACTAATCATCTCTGTGTAAATGGATTGAAGCGAACCTGAAACTAGAAAAAAAAAAAAAAAAAAAAAAAAAGATTTGTTTATAATCAACAAAGCCTTTTTGGTAAATCCAGTAAAAGAATTATTCCTATGAACATTAAATTTCTTTGAATTGCAAATAAATATGATTTTGACTTTTTATAAGATAGAGCATTGTCTGCCATTATTAATTTTTGGTACTGAGTAAAAAGTGATAAAAAGGCTATTTCACTATACATGTATGCCATATTGTAGGAAATTCCTTGATTATTACAATAAAGGCTTCAACTGCTAATATTATTTAAAATTATAATAATCATAAGGAATGTACAAGGTGTGATGGATAAATTGTCATCTAAATTATGTAAAAATTAAAATAACATTGACATTTCATTTTAACAGATATAGGAGTTTTGTTGGTCTCTTGCTCAACTGTGTTCCATAATAATCAGTGGGGTTATAGCCTGGAGAGTTAGGGGACTAGATGTAAAGGGGTGATGCAGTCATAAAAATTATCTGACAGCCATGACTAGGTTCTTTCTGGACTTATTAAACCTATAAAGAGAGGTGAGAATTAGAAGTTCTACCAGGATACATTACTGGTAGCCACAATCTTAACGTAAGATATGTCAGTGATACAGTGTTGATAGCAGACATGTAAACTACAAGAACTCCTACAGAAGATAATGAAGTAAAGTGAAAAGAAAGGACTAAATATAAATTGCAAGGAAACAGAATGAATGGTTGTCAGCAAAAGGGAACAGACCAAAATGCAAATTACAAATTGGGGATATCAAAATCAAATAAGTACAAAAATGTAAATATCTGGGAAGACTTTTAACAGACGTTGGAAAGTGAAACACTGAAATCGGAAAGCCCATTAGGATATGGAAAATGCTTTCCAAAAGCAAAGTATTAAAAAACAGAAAAAATTGTGAAAACATTAGAAAAAATGCAAAATCATTACCTATATGGCAGTGAATACTGACAAATCAAAGATGAAGACACTTGTAAAAAAAAAAAATACGGTCAAGAGGATCAGGATAACATGGACCAAACATATCCTAGAGAAAATGGAAACAAATAGCAAACTTAAACTTAAAATCTGAAAGAGATAGTTGAAACTTCTTAGCCACATGAGGAAAAAGAGTTTGGAAAATAAAAGGACAGGCAAGCAGAAAAGAAAACAATACTTGAAAAATATATCATAGGAGAGATAACAAAAAAAGACAAACAGGACAGGCTACAAAAGACAAAATGTGGAGATGAATAGATACAGAAGGCTGATCTTTTTTATATTTTGTAGAATTTTAAGGGTCGCCAATTAAATAAATTCCAGATGGATAGATACAACTGATTTAATTTTGACTTTTAATAACTTTAATGATTAGAATCTATTAATGAAGAGTCAATTTTTCAACAATTGTAGAGATAATTTCAATGATATTCAGAACTGACTGCATTACTATCATTTTGGGGTTGGAATTTTCAAAAAACTCAACAAACAATCAAAAGTTTTTGCACTTACTTGGGACTCCTGGCAATAAATCAACTTCAAAGGATTGACCTTGTGTTTCAAGTACAATTCCAAGACGATATTCATCTTTAGAAATAAATCTGTAGCCAGGTAATTGGGCATTTAGCAAAGTTTTATGCATTTTAGTTAAAATCTGTGTCATTTCAGGAGTTATACTCTCTACTGTGTAATTGTTGAGATAAACCACAAGATCGATATCTGAGAGGTTCTTTTGCAGGGCTATCCCTTGCCCTAAGGAACCAGACTATAAAAAAATATAAAAACATAAACAGATTAATACATTCATCAGGCCTTAATTATTAGCAATTGTTGATTTAAGTCATTAGACATTATTACTTTATAATTTAATAAAGTTTATTAATTTTCTTGGCTAAAATTGATTATAAAATTCATACTTTATATCTCATAAATTTTGTTCATTTTTGTAGTTAAAACTTATACAATTCTTACTTTATATCTAATAAATTTTGTTCATTTTTGTAGTTAAAACTCATACAATTCTTACTTTATATCTAATAAATTTATTCATTTTTTAGTTGAAATTTAAATTCCTACTTTATATCTAATAAATTTTATGAAACTCATAAAATTCCTACTTTATATCTAATAAATTTTATTCATTTTTGTAGTTGAAACTCATAAAATTCCTACTTTATATCTAATAAATTTTATTCATTTTTGTAGTTGAAACTCATAAAATTCCTACTTTATATCTAATACATTTTATTCATTTTTGTAGTTGAAACTCATAAAATTCCTACTTTATATCTAATAAATTTTATTCATTTTTGTAGTTGAAACTCATAAAATTCCTACTTTATATCTAATAAATTTTATTCATTTTTGTAGTTGAAACTCATACAATTCCTACTTTATATCTAAAGTTTATTCATTTTTGTAGCCAAATTAATTATACCTATTCTTTCTTCATATTATAGCATTCTGCTATTCTGTTCATTTTCATCATGGCTGACAATCTATTTCTCGTAACTTTTCCCTCATTGTAGTAGCATGTAGTTTTCTGTAAAACGATTTTCCAGTTATTTAAATTTAATAATTCACTTTCTCCTTTTTTTTTTTGATTATGGTTGCATAATACTTCTATCCTTGTCATAATATAGTTTGTTATCTCAAGTAATTTGATATTTTGTTTTTATTATGACTAGAAGTTATGAAATTTGTTGTAAGACCTTTAATACCATAAAACCAGCAGCCCCCACCCCCCAAAAAATATCGCCTCTTCAGAGGATAGATTTTCCCATCGAAGGAGATGCTGCTTTTGTCGTATCTGTTCTATGCTGGTGGCTGTCGTTTCCCTCATTGCCTGGACAGAATTCTTAGACTTGATCTGTAACATCTGTTCCACAGCAGTGTTATGACCGGTTATGACTAGCGCAAACCAGTTTTGACCAGTGGCCTGAGTGAAAATACATGGGTCCCACATTAAATAAACTGACCTTGTGTCACATCCTGACTCATTGGGGAGTCAAAGGTAAATACAGTGACCTTGCTTACACGGTTGATGCCAGTTTAGTGAGCAAGAGAGCTTTGGGTTGTTTAGTGACCCTGTTCTTTGGAGCTGTATGATGCTGTCTTCCTACGTCTTTGATAGGAATCTTTAAAGTCTCCAATTTTTTCTTTTTTTTTTTTTTGCTGAGTTACCATGTGATTCACTGCCTTTAGCAGTAGGTCATCTCTAACTGGTATGTCCAATGGGTTGCTGCATGATCTTGAGTAACAATTAACCCTCATGAGGTCCTGTTGCATAAGTGAAACCTATATAAAGACCATGATCTGCCTGGTTACGAGTGTGATCCATTGTTGTAGTGCTAATCTGAGAATCTTTTTCAGGACTAAGACTCTGTGATTACTATTTGCCCTATTAAGGGCAAATTTGCTTTCTTCCCCCTCACTGCATGGACTGCCTGACCTCCCGTTCTGCTATTTCCAGCACTTGTCAATGGTATCTGCAGCCCCATCACATGACTTCTTGTTCTGTCCCAGTATCTTCAGTGTTTGTCAATGGTCCCTGTACCCACAGTGAGCGACCATTCCTTATTGGATTTTCAGTGCTCATCAAGAGACTTGACATATTCTGTGTTTAACCAGCCATTCTGGCATCTGCTATGCATAACAGTCATCTTCTGAATTCATCAGTATCTTGTTCGCAAGGCAATCATTCAGCTGTAGACAATTCTAGTCCCGAGCACATAGGCATTTACTACACCCAGCAGTTGTCATTGGCATACACCAAGGGTCGATAACCTATGGCCTGCGTTTTGACCGACCCGCGAACCTGATTACCAATGACTATTTTTAACATGAGAGACGACCTTCAAATGAAATTTGTTATATGTCATTTTCCATAGAATGTCTACACATCTCAGTGCACTAAAAATATTAGACTATCTGCCAGTTATCTTTCATGAGACTTATTTTACCAAGTTGCGTTGCCTACGTTTAATGTCAAATAATGGATACATATTTGTTATGACCCTTGGCTACATTAAAAGATAACAGAAGGAAAGGAACATTAAAGTGAAAGAGGCCAGGGAGGGACTGACATGTGAGGTAGCAGAAATCTAAAGACAGTTAAACATACGCGCATTATACATACATGCCTCATGAATGTGTGGATGATACCGCATGTGTACGTACGTAAGTGTATATGTTTGCAACTATTTGTACTCGTATGTATGGGTATATGTGCTTTGTTTTTGTTTGATGCGTGTGTGTGTGTATGGTTCGTTTGTGGAACAATTTTCAATAACAGTTTCAAACCTACACGTCATAATTTCATCCATTTCACTTCGGTTGATTTTTTTCACTTTGAAGTATTTTGACATTCCTTGAGGAAAAGTAATTTTTGTTAAGTGTTTTTTTTAATTTTAGATTTTCTTTTGTTTTTTCTGATTTCTCAATGTTTATTTTCATTATGGTTTTAAATATTTAGGTTGACAGGGGTGTCTGCATATGTAATTTTCCTTAATTTTTCATTAATGTCCTTCGTCCAGCCCATGGGGCCAAATGCGTTGCCCCCCCCCTCCCGCCCGGCATACACCATTCTTTCCTGCACACGTCTACTGGCTCAATTTACCTCCTTTGAACATTGACTGATCCAGATTTCTTGAGGTGTGCATTGATGGGAGATTTGATAGTGGAGGGGGATTATGAGGGTCGCCTTCCCTCGCTTTACTATCCGTCCCCAGATCTTGCGGGTTGAGGATCAATCGAACTTCCTTCACGAATGCCAGCGGGCCTTGAGAAGCATTTCTCAGTCTAGTGACCTTTCTCAGCCTCGGAGGGTCTTCTGTCGTTATCTAGTGGAGAGGGCCACGAAGGATCCTCTTCGTGAGTGGCTCGACTTGTTGGAGGAGGAGTTTCACTCCTCCTGGTCGTGTGTGCCAGCAGTGGATTACCTCAGTAAACATGAGTTTTCACTTACCTGGCAACTGGCTTGGAATAGGCTACCTCTCAACAACATGGCCTTCATATGAGGCTTGACGGATTTGCCAGACTGCGAATGATGTCGCCTTGGCCTGGAAGAAATGGCTTTGCACGCCTTCTAGCATTGCCCTCAGGTCCACCCCCTATGGAACCACCATGTCAGTGAACTGACGGCTCGTATCACTCCCAAAAAGCTTGTGCTCATTGATCGTGTATCTGCACGTGACAACGTATCGCCCCTTGTATTCTGGGGTGAAATGAATGGTGTTTCTGGAAGAAGTCTTGCAAGGCAACTGTCTTTCTCATCAGAATCTGATCCAATTCTTTGAGCATCAAGATGAAGATTAGATCTGATAGAAAATTCTTGATCTCGACAGACTTTAGTGAGAGGCGGGTGACTGAGGCGAGTTTGCTTTGCTTGAACGAGGCTAGCCTTGATTTTTCTCTTTTAGGTCAACCTAGATTGCATTGGGGTGGTTTCCTGTGGATCCCTCCCCTGGTTAGGCTAAGCAAGCTCAGTGTACCTAGTTAATGTGAGTAAGTGTTGTTCCTGGGTTTCTCCCAGCCACATCTTTTGTTAATGATCCAAGTTGAGATTCCCAACCTCCCCAGTTTGTTTTTAGTCCCCGCTTTTCATCTCAACTGGGTCAGCCTTATCTATTTCCCATGCTCGTATATATATATATATATATATATATATATATATATATATAAAAGAAAGAACAGTAAGATATATAATCTGGTGTTCTTATAGATATTTTTATTTTTACAAAATAGTGCTCAGTGTAAATTTACAGAGCATTAATATTATAATTAATTGATTTAAAATATGGTTTTTTTCGCTACACAGTTCTAACCATGTTTCAAAATTTTTTGAAACATGGTTAGAACTGTGTAGCGAAAAAAAAACATATTTTAAATCAATTAATTTATGATATATATATATATATATATTCTCTCCTTTCCCCTCTCCCTTAGCAAGATAACCTCTTGATTTTGTCCAGGGGAAGAATATAGCAGCTTCTCTTTTTTTGAAGGGTTGGACGGGTCCTACTAATATCAGTTTATTTTTAGTTTGTTTTGGGGTTTACCCCTCCCCTTTCATGATCATTCATCTGATTTTTGTATATATAATGTAAATAATATTCATCATCAAATTTTATCTCATTGGGATGCATTGAGATGATGGGGCTATTATGGTGTATGGAGGATTGATTGGCGAGGAAATTGTAATGAGTGAATGGGATTAGCTACGTATAAGATAGTCAGTGAAAACCAGCCTTAACTCATTCCCCCCATTTTTGGCCTTGTGCCATAATTGTATTCATTTACAATAAGTCTCGTTTAACTTCTTTGAACATTGAATGATCTAGATTTCTTTTGCACATGTCTACTGACTCAGTTTAATTTCTTTGAACATCGGCTATTCCTGATTTCTCCTGAACATGTCTACTGACTCAGTTTACCCTCTTCGAACATGAACTGTTCTAGTTATCCATTTATTCTCAACTGATTTGGCATTTTTTTTACTGCCTGTCAACATTTCCAGTTATGTACTTATGTGAATAAACTCTTCAAGGCAGTATTTTACTTATATCATCTTATCAGTCTTCTTCTGTGGAAACAATGCTGACTTTGTATAATTTACCAATCGTTATAGTTTTTTTCGTCAGTGGCATTACAAATGCTTTTCTCCAATCAACTTTCAATATTTCTCACTACTAGATTTCAAGTTCTGAACCTGTTTTTTTCTGGAACTCTTTTCAGAATAAATTTTGGCATAATTTATCTGAATTCCTTTTGTTTTTGTTAATTTTCTTCATACAATGCAGATAGATAACTTTAGAGAGTTTAAGAAATATTTTCATTAAATATTTCTTGACTACTTTCCTAGATATCATGAATATGGAAATCACTATTATAAACAAAGACCTAATTCCCTGTCCATCACACACGGTCTATGTATGTTTTTGTATGCGTAAATGTGTGTGAGTGAATCACATGTTTTTGTGTCATTTAACACATACACAAACAAATTAACACAGAATTTGATCACCTTTGAAAAAAAAGAGATTAGAATAATACATCCCATTCAGTTTGGACCAGACTTAACCTGGGCTGAGCAATAAAACCATTTTTTAAATAAAAAACAAAAAAAATTTTGGCTCGCATTTTTCTTTTTTTTTTTTTGAAAACAGTAATTATTCTTCTGATACTTGCTATGTTGCTTACTGTAGTTCAAGTTTCAGTCAAACCTGTTGTATTCACTTTCACACAAATGCCCCACTAGCTGCTGTGGATTAAATAGAAGGATAGACTGAGTTCTCAAGCCTTGGGCAACAAAAATGTCTGAATTCTACACTGTGGAGAAGGCAAACCACAAAAAGTTTCCATGTGTATGAATGAGAGCCACTAGGAACTAAAATTTTAAAACGATATTTTTTTAATACGTGTTTTTGCAACCCCCGCCAAATTGTCACTGCTACGGCCTTGTCTAAAAGAATGAAAGACCTAATAAAAAATAAGCAGGAATTTGAAAGAGGAATTTATTCTATTGCCTGTAATAATTGCCACAATAGGAGAAACAGCAAAAAAAAGTTTAGAAGTGAGGCCATAATTCACAAGTTAAAATTTATAAATTCTTTTTAAATTGTTTTTTTTTTTCCATATACATTTTTTGATTTCTTTTAAAATATATACAGTGTAACCCGGATATAAGAGACCCCGATATAAGAGAGGTTTTCTCTGGTCCCAAATTAGAGCCTGTGTTAATGTATATAAAATAGACCAAACCCGGATATAAGAGAAACCCGGATATAAGAGACTTCTTCTCCGGTCCCGACAACTCTTATATCCGGGTTACACTGTATTCAGATATATTCTCATTTGTGTGGATGCTTGTTGGTACCTTTTTCTCTGAAGAAATGCTCTGTTTAACATGAAGCCAGTTATTCTCTATTGTTTGAGTATGAACGACAGATTCATCTAAGTTAGTAAATCAATAAAATTGTAATTTAATTGTATCACAGATCATTTAGTAGTCCATAAGCAGATCCCACCATCACTAATGATCGTAGAGCCTTTGTTTAATTACATTTTTTTTGGATGACTGCTTCTCAATTTATCAGGAACAAATTCTACAATATCAGTGAATATCTTTTTTAACCCTTAAGTGTATTAACTAAATTACTTTCCTTTTTGCATATGCTCGCTATGGCCCCGGTTTTATGACCGTGATTTTAAAAAGTAAACTTTTACCGGAGAAAATTTCCTTAATTTAAATAAAAGATTATAATAAACATAAAAATGTGGGTACGTCCACTAATTTGGTATACATAAGGTTTAAAATGAATTAAAAAAAATGAAAAACTTTCATTTTAGCTTTGAAATCAAAACGATTCAAATTTTTACTATTTCCAGTAAGCAAACTATTCTGTGGTGTATTTCAAATAGAAATTATATTGATTGGAATCGATTTTTTTTCAGTTAAAATTAAACGATAAAATCAGGAATTTTGACACATCTAGAAACAAAAGTTAAGTCTTGCTTTTAAAAATCTTGCGAATAATACATATTTCTGAAATGTTATTTGAGAAAAATTTAAAGTTAAAGAGGTTTTTTACTTTTTATATTGAATTATTTTTTTTTTTTTTGTAAGATTTGGGACGAATTTTCAGTTTTTATTTCTTAAGAAAAGAAAATATCTTTCAGGGTGTAAGCGAAAATTCAATAATAAATAAATACTGAGTGAGTGAAAAAGGAAAATTTAACGCATATTTCCCTGATTTTTGGTAATAAAAGAAAATGAGTAGTGCTTTTCTTTTTTGCAAAGAAAGTACGCCAGTTTTTGGACTTTTGAATGATTATACAACTTAATCCATACTATTGAACAGTAAACTTTAACAAAAGAAAAAATAAAGCAAACAAGACATTTTACTTACTTTTACAACTTCAGCTACACTATAAGGAAATTCTGAACTGTGTAGAATTCTTGCAACGAGGTTAATCAATTCTTGAGCTGATGACACAAAGGAAAAAGGTGCTTGGATTTCAGTTTGTATATATCTGTCTAGACAAGTACCTTCATCTAATTTGAAAGTTTTCTGAGCCATGTTTCTAGGTGAGATAACGACGTGTCAACTTCGGAAATTACAGCAACCAGTGACGCACAATTCGGTAGGGAAGTTATATATATATTGTAGTTAAATCTTTCCCCGAAAAATACTGATTTTCGTGGAAAAACTGACACGTGATCATTGAACTAGTTTCACTTTGCTCAGATTTTACAATTTTCACTAGAAAAACAGCATAGCACGATGAATAAAGGCCCTACTTAATAAAAATAACGTTTCATCGTCAAAAAAAATGTTGATGTTATTATTTAAGACAAAGAGGAAATACCAAAGTATTTTTTAATTATTTTTAAACCTTTCTAAAACGTTCGAAATTTGGGATAAAAATTGTTTTTTTTGTTTTTTTTTTAAGTCAGGGACGTAAGTAATTTTTACAGTTACGTGTTTTTGCACTTTTTTTTCGGTGAAAAACACATTGATTTGGAAATTGTTGCAAAAATCAAATAATTGTCGGAGTTTAATTAAACTTTAAGAACTTATTCATATAAATGAATGAAATTATTTTTGAATTTTTTAAAACTTTTGCTTGTTTTCTGAAAATCTTCGAATAGTAAACTAAAAAAATGTAATTAAAAACTATGATATTATTAAAGTTTAAACCTTTTAAGTTGCTTTTTTTTTTTGTAAATGAGTTATTTAGGACATTATTGTCTTAAGAAAAAAATTTCGATGTATAATGAATTTTTACAATAATTTTTTAAGCATTTTAAATTAATTATAATAATTTATCATAATTTTAAAATCGTTTAAAAATCTCCCACGCCGTATTAGGTGATATATTGTAATTAAAGTAGAAACTTTACGAATCAAAAATTGAAAAGCTTTAAAGTCGTTTTTAAATTTTACATTTATATTTTGAAAATATTCTTTTTTTACTTTCACTCCCATAAATTATTGAGTTACCTAGTTATTTCATATTAAATTTTAAAATTAATCTAAGAAAATTTTATTATTTTTTCATAAAGCATCTTCAAACATAAAAGTCGATAAAATATAGATAATTGCCGAAAATATGCTAATTTGTAAAAATTACTAGGTAGTTAAAAAAAAATAGGTTCACTTAGATTTCGTAATTTATGTTAATTCTGGTCATCCATACTAGCTGTCGACACCTGGGAGCTTATCGATACTTCAATAAAGACAAAAGAAAGAAAAAGAGAGCCCATCATTAAGAAATGCTTGTACTAATTTTTTATGCTATAAGTAATATCTGCTTGAAATCAGATTAATAATTAATCATTAATTTAACTTTAAATTTGCTAATTTTAGTTAAATAACAAGTCACAAATATATATTTTATTTTTGGAAGATTTTTAAAACTGATAATTAAATTTTAAACTTAATGTAAGAAATGGCCGCCAGTAAACTAAACGGATTTTTTGAAAACGACTAGACATTCTAACTGAAATATACCAGAGTATTTTACCTACTGGAAATAGACAACAATACTTTAGCTTTCAATTAAAGCTAAAAAGAAATCTTCAAAAATGTGTTTTCATTTTTAAAAATTCGTTTAAAACCTTAGATATCGAAAATCTTAGCGAAAAAGTGGAGGTAGGTACCACCCATGATTCACTGAAAAAAGAGCATACCTGATGAAACATTGTTCCAACTTGACAAAAACAAAGTTTTATTGTCAGATTGTCTATTAATAAGAAAAGGAAAGACCAAAGTATTTTATCATTTGATTATAAGTTTTAGCCCTTTTTAGAACATTCGAAATTTTGGTTAAACATCGTGTTTTCTTTAGTTTTTTTTTTTTTTTTTTTTGCGTCAGTTGGCGGACTATAAATTAGCATAGCAATTTTTTGCGGTGAAAAACATTAATTTAGAAATTCTTGCAAAAATCAAATAATTGTTGAATTTTAATGAAGCTTTCAGGGTTTATTAATAAATGAATGGAATTATTTTAGAATGTATTTTTAGAAAATCTTGATAATTTTTTTTTTTTTACATCTGTTACGCACCACATTTAATTTTATGATAATTCGAGAAATTCAATGATGTACTCACTCTACTACTGTTGCATAGAATGATGAAAAAAGGCCCCAAACCCCAAGGGCCAAATTTAATAAAAACAAAGTTTTGTCATTAAAATCTTTATGTTATTATTATTAAGAGAAAAGACCAAAGTATTTTTTTTTTGAAATTTTTTAATCCTTTCTCTAGCACGTCCGAAATTTTGGTTAAATATCTTTTTTTTTTTTTTTTTTTTTTACGTCGGCGGTGGACCAAAGATAAAGGTTAGTTTTTTTTCCATTTTTTCGATGAAAAACACATTGATTTGGAAATTCTTTAAAAGATCAAATAATTGTGGGATTTTAATGAAACTTTCAGGACTTAGGTAGAAGTGAATGAAATCCTTTTTTAAATATTTTTTTTTAGAAAATCTTGGTAATTTTTTTTTTTTTTTTTTTTTTTTTACATGCTACCACCCACTTACTTAATTACATGAAATTTCTAGAAATTAAATTTTTAGGGTGGGGATGTATTTTTTTTTAGTTAAAAGCAGGACTCCTCAAAGAAAGTAAATCAATTTTTTTGTAAAACAGTTGGCCCTTTCACCCAAAATCTGCTCTGAATCGTAAAATAAAAAAATGCAATAAAAATATGATATTTAATCAGAAAAAGCTTTTAATTGCTTTGATAAGTAAAATTTATTAAGAACACTGTTGTTGTTGTCTTAATGAGAATTTTTTTTCGATGAATAATTAAATTTTTACAAGAATTGTTTACATTTTAAAAAATTTTTAATTTAAACAACTTATTAAAAAAATTGTTTAAAATTCTTCATCGCTTTCAAGGTGGCGGTATTCTTAAGTGAAAATTAATTTTACGAATCAAAAATTGATAAGTTCATAACAATCGTTTGATTGTCAAGAAGACCTTTAGGTGCGGCTGTATATCGTTGTATTGTTGCAAAGCCGGTAAGGATGTGGCCCACGCAAGCTTTTACAAGAAAAGTATGAACAGCCAAGACAATGAGGGGACAAAGGTAGAGGTTTAAAAAACAATGAACGTCGATTTTATCCAAAAAATGTACAAGAGTGTACTGTCTGGAGAAATATGTTTGAATCAGTGTCGGGTCCGATTATAATGATTTCCTTCAGGGGAAGATGATTCGGTTGTATCGGCGAAACGAGGGTAGAGTTGATCGGCGGCAGTAGCTGGTCGACTGCCGGATGCGAGAATTGTCGGCGACAGCAGCTGGTTGATTGATGCCGCATGAAGATTCGTTGGATCGGTTAGGACGAGTACCAAAACAGGGCCGAGTCAGAATAGTGATACGACTTCCAGGGCGGATCAACTACAGAGGCGGGGTCGTGCCGAAGTATAACTTGCTGAAGGCGAAGTACCTAAATACGGCCGAGTCAGAATAGTGATACGAATTCCAGGGCGAATCAACCGCGGAGACGGAGTCGCGCCGAAGTGTAACACTTAACGAAGGCGAAGTCACTAAACTGGGCCGAGTCAGAATAGTGGTACGACTTCCAGGGCGAATCAACCACGGAGGCAGGATCGCGCTTAAGTGTAGCACTTGACGAAGCTGGAGTCAGAGAGATGATACGTCTTCCAGGGCGGATCGACCGCGGAAATGAGAGCCGAATAGTAATGTCTCGACAAAGCACCGGAAGCTCACAAAGGTAGCGTACTACGCTTTGATCCAGGCCGATATTTATTGCATAAAAATACAATTATGGCACAAGGCCGAAAAAAGGAGAGGGGTTGAGGCTGGTCTTCACTATCTTATACCTAGCTAATCCAATTCACGACCCATTCACTCATTACAATTTACCCATTCACCATAAAGACTCGTCCGTCACCAATCAATCCTCCATACACCGTAATACCACATCCTATCAAGGAGGACCTACGAAACGCGCCCCATGTCATACAAGTTTAATGATAATAAACTATATATACAATTCTAAAAATGAAAAATGAGAGGGAAGAGAGCTGAACCCAATAACAAACTAAACATGAACACTAAGTGAACTAAACATAACTGATGTTAGTAGGGCCCGTCCAACCCTCAAGGAGAGAGGTCGCTGTATTCTGCCCATTGGACAAAATCAAGGAGCTCTCTCACTAAGGAAGTGGGAAAAGGAGAAAATATATACAGACATGGGAACGAAAAAGCTGACCCAGTCGAGATAAAAAAAAGGGCCAAAAACAAACTTGGAGAGTTGGGAATCTCGACTAAGATCATAACCAAAGAGGCAGTCGGGAACAGGCCAGGAACAACACTTACCCACATTAACTAGGTACACAAAAGTTTATCTAACCTAACAAAGGGGAGGGCTCCGCAGGAAACCACCCTGATGTGAAGTAGGTTGACCTAAAAGAGAAAATCAAGGCTAGCCCCGTTCAAACGAACCAAGCTCGCCTCAGTCACCCACCTTCACTGAAGACTGTCGAATGCAAGCGTTTCCTATCAGTTCTAATCTTCATCTTGAGTTGATGCTCAATGAATCGGATTAGATCCTGATGAGAAAGACGGTGGCCTTGCAAGACTTCCTTCTGTCGCGTCGTCCAAATCACCATTCGGGCCGTGGCCAGCGGCGTCAGAAACACCATCCATTTCACCCCAGAAAACGGGGGCGACATATTGTCACACGTGTATGCGCGATCAATGAGCACGAGCTGTTCGGGAGCTAGACGATCTGTCAACTCGCCGACATGGTCCTATAAGGGGTTGACCCGGGGACAATGGTAGAAGGCGTGCGAAGCCGTTTCTTCTAAACCAAGGTCACACCGTTCACAGTCTGGCAAATCCGCCAAGCCCCATATGAAGACCTTGTCGGTGAGAGGCAGCCGATTCCGAGCCAATCGCCAGGTAAGCGAAAACTCGGAGTTACTGAGATAATCCGCCGCTGACGCCCAAGCCCAGAAAGATCGATACTCTTCCCCTGTCACCTTTTTGTCCCCTGTCACCTTTTCGTACCGATCAAGCGCCTTCAGTACCACCTCAATGTCGCTACGGGACGATACGAAAGTAGATACATCATCGGCGTACGCGGAAATCTTGGCTCGAGCCCCTCCAGGAACGGCGATTCCGCGTAGGGCCGGACTGCATGCCCTGTCCTCAGCCGGCGAAGGAGAGGCTCCAACGCCAAAGCATAAAGTAGGGACAACAGCGGACAACCCTGACGAACCGACCTAAACATCGCCAAAGCTTCCCGTTCACCTGTACCACAGCACTCGTGGAGGGATACAGGAGACTAATCCAGCGGCAGAAGTCGGGTGCAAATCCGGCAGCCTGCAGGACAGCCACAAGGTAGCGATGGTCAACCCTATCAAATGCCTTGGACTGATCTAAATTGATCAGCGCGGCCTCATCGTCGTCTTTTACACCCTCTATGATCGTGCGGATCAGATGCAGGTTGCTCTGAATTGTTCGGCCCCTCACAGAATAAGTCTGCTCAGCAACTGGCTGCAAACGCTCCTGCAGGATCTTGGCCAAAATCTTTAACTCTGTGTTTAGCAGAGTCATGGGCCTGTAATCATCTAATTGCCCCCCAACATCCTTGCCCTTTCTCAACAGCGTGATCACACCCCTGGAGAACCGGCCGGGACGGACCACTGTCGGAACCAGTTGTTGAACACGACAGTCAAAATCGGGACAAAGATGTGCAACAGCCTCAAGTACAATTCATAGGGAAAACCATCCAGAACGGGCGACTTGCCTCTGCCGACCTTCTTCAATGCCGCGTAGGCTTCGCTCTCCGTGATCTCTCCCTCGCAGCTAGCTGCTTCAGTCGGCGAAAGCCGAGGAAAGTCAGCCAAATAGCTGCGAAACTCCTCACGGAGACCAGGCTCCTTGGTAAACCAATTCTAGAAATGCCACCGAAACGCCTCGCACATGTCGTCAGTGGCCCGAAGAGTGTGCCCCTCCGGGGTTTTGACTTTACGAATGTACCGATCGGACCCTTGACAGACCTCTTCCTTGCGCAATTCGTCGTCCATGTTCACCGCTTCGGAAGACATCTTGCTTAACCTATGTCTAATTACCTGACCCATGTAGCACTCGCTATTCGAACGCTCCACGGCCTCCCTAGCTAAGGCTATCTCTAGGGGATTGACTGATTGATTCGGTTTTTTATGTTTTTTTTTTTAATTATTTAAAGCCAGGAAATGTCTTTAGATTGTAATTTTTTTAAGATTATAATGATTTACTGATACAAGTCTTACTAATTGCCACATAGTTTGAGGTGGATTTGTACTTTTTCCAAGGGTATTTGCGCGCGTGAGTGAATACAACGAACCTGGCTGGAATTAGAACTCGACTTTCCGATTAACAATTCTGAGCCATTATCTATTACACCACCTACACATACAAGCTTACAGCACCTGGCATTTCCAAGCGGTCACCCATCTAATTACTGACTAGACTCGACGTTGCTTAAATTTGATGACTGTACGCCGACAAGAACTGGTGGTTCAACGTGATATGGTTCTTCAGGCAATGTGAATGATTAGAATACCACGGAACATATCAGTAACTGGGAAATTTTAAGAAAAACAAAAAGATGCATTAGCATTTTGATAGCCAAAGATTCCTTCCCAAAACTAAGCAAAGTAAGAAAAAGAAAAACTCTGACCCCGGCTAAAAAGAATTCAAAATTGCCCTGATGTGGAGTTTAATATACGAATATTTTGCAATAATTGTTAAGTGATCAGAAGTGACAGTTTTTGTTTTTTCGAGTGTTTTTATTGTTGTTGTATTTGGGGAATTAGTGTGTGTTTGGTCGAATGATTGTTTGCATTTTCAAAGTCCCGTATTAATTTTTTGGTCAAGAACAAATGTTTCTGACACATTTTTAAGGATTGTGGGGGTTTATTACTAACGTAACACTATTTTGTCTTGTTTTATTTCTTGTAAATAAATCTTGTTTTTTTATTATAAATATTCATTGGGTTTATAAATTTTTAAAAGTTGTTATTTTAGTACATATGGAGTACTACTTAAAAAGTGTTTAGATAGCAATAAATAGTGTCTGTAGTAAGAATGTTAAGTTGAAGAATGTGTTGTTTTGGTGAAAGGACTATTATGGTATGTTTGGGTCAGTGGTTGTGGATAGCTAAGTTTAAGTATTAGACAGATAAAAGACCAGTCCTCGATATCCCCAGTTTTTAGCCTTGTGCCATATTTGTACAATAAATATCATTAGTTATCTCCCTTGATCGGTGTCATTTCTTTTTATTCGACTTTTGTTATATAACGGTTTATGAATTCTCGATGATTCTTTCCTCAACGGTTTATCGTATTACTTTGGGTTTTCGTTGCATCTCTATTTCGTCTTCTTCAGGTGAGGAAGATTGTTTCAAATTTATTTAACATGGGTCATTTTTTTTTTAAATTAACGCGTGTTACAGGGTAAAAAAAAAAATATGCCAGTTTCTCAAAGTAATTTTTCTTGTTTTTATTTTAGACAATTTAAAAAAAAAATCATTGTAAGTTGATTTATAAATTTCCTCATCTTTGGCCCAAAGTATCAAATTCTACACTCAAAGATGGTCGGAGTATCGGAAACTTTAGGATCCAAATAAAAACAACAGCAATGAGGAAATTAGTCGATACTACAGTACACATAAACATGAAGAAATTTTATTTTTTTTTATTCTTATCTTAGTGTTACTTGTTTTTCTTTTAAGTAAAAACTTGAAAGATAATTTTTTATTTGATCTGTCAGTCTATTTTTAGCCTTAGATAAATAATTTTATTTTAAAAATCTAGCAGAAATATTTGTTTAAAAATTATCAGTAGAGTTTTTACACTGAGGAGATAATCATAATAATCATTTTTTTTTTAAGTGCTCTAGATTTTATATTTTTAATATGTCCAGTTCGCGATGTCAATTAAATTGACCCCCCCCAAAAAATCGCCAACCTACGGAAGCCAAAACAAAAATCCGGCGTGAAAATGTAAACACAAACATTAATCTCTCTAATTAACTGTAAATATATAGATTACTACTGTAGTGTAGAGAGAGAGAAAGATTATATATATTTTTTAAAAAATTTTTTTACTTGCATTATTACAATAATATAGATTACTATTATTATTATTACATAATACACTTTAACACAACAGTCTGGTAATAATAATATATGAAAAAAAAAACAGATAAAACTTCAGATTACGAATTTAATTTAATAAATTTTACATTTTATTTAAATTTAAAAAATCACGTCGGATCATTTTTGTTGTTTTGGCTTCCCTGAGGTGGGGTGGGCAATAATGTACATTTTCTTTACTTACATACACAATTTACAATAAAGGGGGCCTACTTCCCAGCAAGCATCAAAATGTAGAACTCTCTGTTTTCTGTCTGAGAGGTACCCAAATGGCAAAGGTACCCGAGGGACAAAGTTTCGTCTGGGGAGGTTGACAAACCCTACCCCGTGTATGCGGTCTCTTACGGGCGGGCTCGTATCGCGCCACATAAAAGTCGGCCTTGTGCCACATTCTACCGCGTGGGGAGGTTGGGTAAATACCGGCTTGGATTTACTTACGTAGGGTCCCTCCCTACGGAAGTAAATCCAAGCCGGTATTTACGGAAGGGAGATCAATTTTTTACTTACAAAATTGAACACCTAACTTAATTAAAAAAAAAATAATAATAATTAAAATTATACAATACTTGATTTTTAAGGTACCTCCACTGAATTATCGATATCTAAGGTTTTAAAATAAATTTTTAAAAAAGAAAAAAAATTCTTGAATATTTCATTTTGGCTTTAATTGAAAGATAAATGATTAAATTTACTATTTCCAGTAAGTGAAATGTTCTGGTGTATTTCAAGTAGAAGTTAAATCGGAATCTCAACTTTTTGGTCGATTTTTAAAATCTTACAAGCAACCATTTTTTCCCCTAATTTTTAAGAATTTTTAAAAATCTTCCAAAATTATAATTTGTGACACATTATTTGAGTAAAATTAGCAAACTTAAATTAATCTGATTTGAGATAAATAAATATTACTTATATAATTATTATAGCATAAAAAAGTAATATACAAGCATTTCGGGTCCTGTTGTTACGTGTTCTGGAGTGTAAATTTATATTGTATAAAAATTAAAAAGTGATTTCTGGTCATAATTGTACAATTTCATCGAATTTTCCACAAATGAAATTTTTTTTTTTACTCTGTAATATTTTTAAAAAAATTAATTGATCTAAAAAAAAATTATTGACTCATTGTTGTATATTTTAAAGTTTACTAAGGTTTATGTCGCTCTGTTCATAAATTAAATAAACTTCTTAATGTACTTTTTAAATTAAAAAGTACACTAAGAAGTTTATTTAACAACAAATTTTCATTAAACATTAAAATTAAAAATTTTAATTTTAATGTTTAATGAAAATTTGTTGTTAAACTAAGTGATGCATTTTCTTTAATTGTGAAAATGGTTCTATAAGCTTTTGAAATTTTCAGGAAAAAAAATTCCAAAATCAAAATCCGAGGATTTGTAACTTGTTTTTTTTTAATCTTGTCTCTAGTCAAAGTGAATTTTTTTATTAATTAAGTTAAAAGGAAATGTATTTTTTAAATGTATTTTTATGTTTTGTAAATGAATATAAACTTTAAATGATTTCTTTGGGCAATGAACTTTTCAATTTCTAGGCAAGGTTAATTAAAATCTTACAATGAATGACTATAAGTTTAAAAACTGGACCTTTACTTTGTGTCCATTTTTGTCATTTGTGACGAAGACCTCAGTTCGTGGTGTTTCATAAAAAACCCTAAATAGAAACTTCAAAGTTCAACAAATCCTAGTTTTTTAACCCGTGAAACAACTTTTTTTTATTGCTTTTTAAAGCTTGTCTCCTTTGAAATTATCTACATTTGCCAAAAAAAAAAAAGTTCACAAAACTAGTGTGAGGGTCCAATAATATCGTAGTAAAAATTGAATATTTCCTCCTATCATGTCCTACAGAAGTCAAGGTCCATTTCGTTAAGGAAGGCAAGGGCATTTGTAAATCGGGATTCAGGACAAAAAAAACATCTTCTTATCCCCAAGGTGTACAAAATCCCAGATGATAAATAAATTGAAAATTCAAGGAACTTTTCATGCAATTTTAATGTCAAATTGAGATAATAATTATTAATAATAATATTCAATACACTTATGTACAACAAAGATAGATTTCTGTCGAGTTTGCTACAGAAATAAAATTGATTGTGTAAAAAAAAAAAATCGATCTAACCTCTAAAAAAAATGTTGAGTCATTCCGTGTCAAATCACCGACACAGCTTTTTTTCAAATTTGGTACACAGTAGTACACTTATATAGAGCTTCATGATAGAAATTAAATTGAAATGATACCTATTTTACATCTCTAGATCAAATCAAAAGGGTCCCAGAGATATGTCAGTTATGTGCCATGCGTGATACACGCTTAGGCAATCATGTATCTTTCGATACATGAGTGACGAGGCAGATTTTTTTTTCTCCGCAGTAGGTTACCATTTCTTTCTGTGGTAGACCAGTTGCCATCCAAGGCTATAGAACCCGGTCTGTCCTGCTATTTACCCAGACCTGGGGGTGGGGAGAAGAGGCTTCATACCTTTCCCAAGGGCATGATCACTTAAGCGTGTATCACGCATGGCACATAACTGACCATAGATATGACTCTTGCCCAAAAGGGGAATTTTGATAAATAGTCACAAAGTTTAAATATCAATATCTCATTTGTTTTTTTCACCAACAAAACCAAATTATATACGATTTTAAAGTACTTGGATACATCTAAAAGGTGATCTATTTATTTTTTTGTTTAAAGATAATTTGACCTTGGCTTTAAACTTTGACTTTTAATTACTCAAAAAAACGTATTTTTATTTTTTTATAAAAATTTGACAATAAATTTATCTGTCTTACGGCAAGATATGTACAAAAGTTTGTGGTGGACTTTTGACTGTGGCCTGAGTTACAAGGGCTTTACTGAATTGGGCCAAATTCAAAATGGCGGATTTTGGTATTTGCTTATGCTAACATTTTCATATCTCTCAATGTAGTCAAGTTGTAGATCTTTAGAAAGGTCTTTGAATGCTGATTAATATTCGCATAAGAACTGTGGTCGTAAAATCAATAGAATTTGTGCTATTTGTGATTAAATGTTGACTAATTCGTTGGAAAATAAATAACCTTATATATATAAATTTATCTATTTATATATATGTATATATAAATAAAAAGAAAGAACAGTAAGATATATAATCTGGTGTTCTTATTGATATTTTTTATTTTTATTTTTACAATACACAGAGCATAAATATTATAAATTAACTGATTTAAATTGTTTTTTTTTTCGCCACACAGTAATGACCATGTTTCAAAAATGGAAGCTAAAAACTTCAAATTTAATTTTGTAATTAAATTAAAAATATTAGTTCCATTTCATCTTCAAGCGAATAGTGGAATAACTTATTTTTTAAAATTTACTGAGTCTTAAATGCACAGAAAAATTCATAATTCACTGTTTCCAAGGATACAGAGAGATCCAATCATTCAGAGCATGTTCATTTTTATTATCCTTTTGTTGTATCTGTTATTAGTTACGTTCGAAAAAGGGGTTAACTTTAGGGAGGGTAGGGATGTATTTTTCAACAAATTCTGACATCTGTTAAATGCATGTTATCTGATTTTTTTAAAAAATTTTTATTGTTAACAGCAAAAATCCTTTTGGCATTTTTTCCGATGTGTATACTTAAAGATTTTTGGGGTTAGATTATGTTTTATTTAACTACAATTTTTAAATATTTTTAATCTTAATTATAAATAGACTATATTTCTTTTTGAAAACAAGCAAATGTAATAGAATTACTTACATTATATAAAATTATTTTTTCATATCAAATATAAGTATGTGTATTACCAGCTCCCATTTTTTTAAAATTATTTTTAAATATTATTTAAGGAGAATTTTTGACAATGATGGCAAAAAATAGCTATTTTTCTGATTCAGTAAATTTTTATTTTTTATGAATTTTTCTGTGTGTTTAAAACTCAGTAAATTTAAAAAGAATAAGTTACTTCACTATTCACTTGAAGATGAAACAGAACTAATATTTTTAATTTAATTACAAAATTAAATTTGAAGTTTTTAGCTTCCATTTTTGAAACGTGGTCATTACTGTGTAGTGAAAAAAACATTTTAAATCAGTTAATTTATAATATATATATATATATATATATATATATATATATATGTGCAGTGCTTATTGGAAAGTACTCCATATTAGCTAACAAACTCATATCCATTCAACTAAATATATATATATATATATATATATATATGGCTA